TACAATTGGCTCTAAGTTGATAAGCTTCACACGAGACTCACACACACACTCACACACACACACTCACACACACACACACACACACACAGGCCAAACCCCCTCCACAAACTCTACTGAGTCTCGTGTGAAGCTTATCAACTTAGAGCCAATTGTAACCTGACTGGAAAGGGAAGGAGAGGGAGAGTAGCATTAATTGCTACCATCATGAAAGTATGATGGAAGCATTTCAGCTTCAGCTGATATGGAAGGGTGTATTCAACGATACTGTAAAATGTGCGCGTTAAATTGTATATCTAAGTTAAGAGTGAAATGATAACCTGGGTATGGCTAACAGATTTGCAGTGAGTATGTTTTCCAAATTACCCATGTTTACAGTTCTAATAATTCCGTTATTTTGAAAGTGGACATTTGCCATCTGTTCGAATAGTGTCCATCTTGTTACTCCATTGTGTGTCATCTTTCTGCTAATTGATACGGAAATGGGATTACTGTCACTATCATTATTGCTTTCCCCCAGTCTTGCAATTAAATCAAAATTTAAATTGATTTAAACAATTGAATTTTGTCAGCAGAAAGCTCAGGAAAACATTGGGAAATCAAAATGAAGTTAGTAAATATACCAAAAATATCCCCAAATGGGGTACGCGATAGATTTACCCTGGGCAACGTGTACTTATACGGCAAGAAAGTCATTAAACCGGTAGTTGACTTCAAACTATCATGACCCCACTGTTTGTCATATTCGGCCACTTCGCAGTACTCACCTCACCCTTGTTCTCTACTTTTGTGTCTGTCGCTTTTACATCTGTGAATCCCTCTTCTGACCCCCCACCCCTCGACTTTCTGGGACTTTAATGTTCCTCCCCTCTGTGAAGCTTGAAGTCAACCAAAGGACTAATTATAGCTATCATAAAGCCTGCAATTTGATATAAATAAAAAAGTAAATATTTCCCAAATAGGACACTCACGTTCTCGTAGTTATACTTCGTGATCTGTTCTTGCATTACAGCAAATGTCTATTGACCGATTTCTAACGGGACGGTGATCAAACTTGTCGCATCATTTCGTTTTATTTAATGATTTATATATTCTTTAGTTACCATTAATGAAACTGTTCTACATTTTAAGAAATACCTCAGAATGTGAAAACCTAAAGATTTAGTTGTTTTAACAAATAAATGGAATGCTTTCAACGAATTCTATTTCAATCTGATAGAGAGCATAATTAAGTTGATGTTCTTGAATTTCTACTGGACTACTCTGTAATTGAAGAGCATTGAGTCAATCAAATTCTAACTGGGCGTGCTTGGAGCTTTTAATTTGATAGAGCTAAAACGCTGCTCACTTCGCATGCAAAAATGCAATCATCACAATCTGCCGACGAATTGCGGTTAAGACTATCAATTACTCAAATGTCTAAGTTCCTACATTAATCAATGTTGTGCTTCAGAAAAACGTCATTCTTTCTGTCGTAAATCTATCCACGTGGGTTATGAAGTCAGTGCTCAAGTTTTGTCATTGATAAAGCTTCTCTCACTTTAAATTACAAATTAATTTGAAGTAAGTAAAATCACCTTGTAAAAAAAAATTATCAGTTTACAATCCTCCTATGGCATTTTATTTTCCGCACACCTTCGTGCACTGGAACATCTTCAAAATGTCCCAACTACACCCAACCTCCCAATAAATAAATCAGGCAAAGGAGATTTAAACGTTTTTAAATTAAAGCCCCCTGCAGCAAAACTCGCACAGAAAGGGGACCATTTGAGTGGCGTGGGATAGGCAACTCCTTGTGTCCCGCAAATGTACTGCAAATTGGAGGTGTACATTTTCACTCCAAATGCAGATTTTCCAGTATGCGCCCGCACGGCCAGTTGTCGATGCAGAAGTTGGACGCCTGCGCTACAGAAGGGACGTAAATATATATATGCATATCCCAAAAAAATTTAAATACGCTTCATCTATTCAAGGAGGGAAAGGGGAGGGGGGAGTGGGTTAGGAGTGGGGGGGGGGGGGTTGTGGGGGGGGGAGAGCGAGGATGCTATGGGGAAAATTAATTGACGAAGTTATTTTGGTGGGGTTAAGCAGAGATCGTGCACCGCAGATATATCATCGCTGCGCTACTTATAAGTCGCCTATTTTGGCAATGAAAAGTACAAAAAATGCTATGGGAATTCAAAGTGTTTCAAGTTAAGATGCCCATAACGACCATAACATAATTTCCTAATGTTAATTAAGACTGGTGGAATTTAAGACCACATTAAAACCAGAAACGAATAATAAAACGTTTTATTGGATAGGGAATGCAAAGCAAAAGCATATAGGATTTCTTCCATTAAAAAATATCGCTTAATTCTAGACTAGTAGAGGTTAAGTATTTCCGAGCACTTGAATATCTATTTTGAAACATGCATATTTAATAATGACTGACGATTTGCCGGTATTATAACAAACATATAATAAAACACTAAATAAAAGAAACTGTGTGAGTTAGTTAAACTTTTCTGAGAACATCACGACGTTTATTGACCTCCAACCCACATGGAGTACAATACTTTATTTCAGCTACTAACAAGCAATTTTTAGTTGGAGTGCTCTAATACTAAATAAATATAAATTTATAAAAGTAAAATAGAGAAAAAACCCTTTTATCCCAACTATAGTTTAATTTTTAAGGAGATTTTTGTTGAGTTTATCAGTTGTGTACTCAATTTCATGCCAGTTTAGCTCCATCGTAGCTTTAACTAACTAAAAATAAGAGCTTATTCCATTAAATTGATTTGTATGAACACGTTGCACTGAAATTCTGAGGATTGGATATCTCCTTGCCAGTACAGTTAAGAGTTGATATTGATCTTGCATAATAATCTAATAATGAATGAATCAATAGCATAAATTCCATTCATTTGAAAAGGTATATTATAACTTTATTTAGTAAATATTTCATGGAAATAGGCAATACTCCAGACTTTTATTACTGTAAACAAGGCAGTGATTTATTTTAAAATAAATTACGATGATATTGTAAGCGAAGTGTTTGTCCAAATTATTTGATAATGATTTATTATACAAAGTAAATTAATCAATTAGAAGCCCATTGATCGTATGACAAAGGTCGAAATAGCCAATAATTTAACAATTTCCCGTTAATGGCACGAATGCAACTAAACAAATCGGCAGACTCATTTGAAAGTAGTTAATTGAGCTTTGTGGAACACCTAGCATACATTTCTGAGATATATCTAAAACTAATTTAACCTCATTTTCATTCACATATTCAGAATGAAAGTCTTAATTAGAAATATTAAAAAATATTTCAAATAGATATTAGTTGTTTTAAATGAATGAACAATTACTTTCACATCCAAACTCTGTTGCATCAATTAATATTCCACTTTTTTAAAATCTTGTAATTAAATTATGGCAAAAATGTGCTGCATTCTATCTTTTTATCCATTTTGTGACTTTGACGGATGTAAAAATGTGAAAAATCAAAATAAGCCAAACTTCTCTAATTCGTCGTTAACTTTGCCTGTTGTAGTTACACTTACAGAAGAACCATAAAATTACGCAAAGTGAATAAATAACATGCAAGGATTGACATCGCGCAGTGATGCAAGAGAGCGTGTAGGGCTGCTAATGCCAAACTTTGGCCAATCGGTCGCCTTCGCGCGCTCGTCAAAATTTTGGCCAATCAGAGGTTAAGATGACGATCCATGTAGTGGTGGTGGCAGCAGATAAATATATCTCCCACTATCAAGTGTGGCCAAAACGTCATCCAAGATGTTTGCATTCGGACAGGATTTCTCTGATTTTCTCCTTAAAAACGGACCTCCTTTCAATAACAATCTCCTTCAGAATATTCTCCTCCGAGCACAGAAAAGACACTTCGAGGAAATGAATAGCCCACCAATTCCACCCACCCTTCCCCAATTCCCTCAAGGTAGTGAAAGTGTTCCCGAATTCTGCCACCTACTCGAAGTCTTCCTCAGCTGTATTTCTAAAGCCCGCACTAAAACTGAGGCTCCTCAAGATAGCTGCTTTCCTGATAACATTATTTGGTCACCAAAACCTCTCCATTTACCAGGACAACCTGTCGCTAATCCCTCCCCATCGAACTCTTCATCTCGTCTTCCTTCTCCCTCCGCTTCCTTACAGAAGAGACAGCTTCCAAAGGGGGTCAAATCACGAACAGAGACGGACGGAGTATTAAGTCAAAACGAATTCACTACCCCTGCACTCAACTCTCTTATTGAAATGACACTTTCTAATAGTTATCAACTCGGCAACTCAAATGAGGCCTGCAAATGTAAGCATTTTCAAAATTATTCGAACAACAGCAGCATATTAGTTAATTAAAGTGAGATTCTAATCGTTAGCATTTTAACTAGTTCATATTTCAGCTGATTATTCAGTTAGGTATTTGTAATATGCGTGCGAGATTTAATTGTCATTCGGGTATGCAAGCGGTATGTTCTGTGAAAGTTTAACAGCTGCAACATACTGCATAAGCAACATGAAAGGCTTAGTTTCGCCGCAGATCAGGAAAATATCGCACGATTAGCAACCAAATGGCCAAATTTCCCATAATTAACATAATTGGCCAGTGTCCTAACAACAAGTACCATACCCACTTTGTGGTTATACAATGCATATTTGGAGTGAATTCGGAATTAAGTTATAGTTCTGTTTTTTTTGTTGTACAGCAAAACCAGGTCAAAAACATGCGACTGGCATGTCAGGATCGGAGGATTTGAACTCCAGAAATGGCGGGATGCCTAACCGTGCTCCTAAGCGAAGGAAAACGCGAACAACTTTCACATCTTTTCAACTAGCTGAGCTTGAAGTGTATTTCAACAAACAGAAGTATCTCACTCCAACGGATAGAGACCAAATCGCCAATGAACTTGGACTATCTAGCACTCAGGTTAGTTCACCAACTAGACACTAGTTTGAAGATAGACATATTGCTTATATGGATCCTGATCTAAATAACAACAATTTGGCTTTTTTTAATGGGCCAAAATAAAGAGGGCATTTCAATAGACTAAAACGCAATAAAAGATTAAATCCTACATTATCTTGTGTTCAAAAAGTTAGGTTGGTTCTTTATTAGTCACGTTTCAAAAAATACCTCTTCTCCTCTGCTAAGCTATGCACTGCTGTAAATAATTCGTCAGAACTCAGAAAAAGAAATCTCTTCAAAACTCGCCTGTTAGAAGCCTCCTTCAGCTGTAATTTTTTGTTCAAAACCAAAATCGGCAGTTTGCTTGTGCCTTCTCTATTGTCCTAATTATCAAAACGATGGCTGTTCAAAGTCCACTTGTCCTTTCTAATTACCATGGTTGACAAAGAGGCCCACTCCGCAAACTGCTGCTATCTCCTCTCGAGAGGGATGCTAAAAGATGCAAAACTAAGAAGCAAAATTAAGGAACAATTTGTGTCCTCCCTAGGATAAAACAAAACAAATAGTTCTGCTAATTATCAAGTAATTCTTTACCTCACTTCCTGTCGACACACAAGAATATCTTCCATTTTTTTATTGTATTTTGCATTAAGGTCGCGTAGAGGAATAGGCATATTTCAACAAAGGTAGCAGTGAATGGAATACTTTGGTACAAAATATCAGAACTCATTGTTATCAATCAGCAGATGCATGCGTTAATTGACTAATTAATCCCAATTATGACATCTTTAGAAGGTATGATTAGCAATTAGCATCCCAATATGATGAATGGCGCATTATAATGAGGGAACCTAATCAGAAAAATTTTGCTATTTTGAGGTGAAAATATTGCCCGAATAATGATTCATTCTGACGTTGAAAAGGAGATAATTCAAACATCTTGGATATAGATTCATCTACCAGTAGAATGAACTGTTTTCCTATTTTTTTGCAATACACTTTACTAAATCATTTTCATTCGCAATAGAGGAAAGGTATTTTACTCCATTGTCCATCCTCAGATCTGAAGTTCACTGAGTACGTACATCAGTTCAATTTCTTGATCACATATTTCCCATAAACCTTAAAGTGCAATTAATACTTTCGTTCCACGAACATTTGAGTCACAATGTGGCGTAATTTAAAACTCCCTTTTGAAAAACATGAGGTAATGCACGTTAAGTACAGACAAAAGAGTCATGCCTATTGTTCGCATTGGTATACCGGTTGATTCACTTAACAAAAGCTGTCAAAAATCGGATTTGTTCATTCAATAAAAATTGAAGATCTGTTCAGATTTCTCTCAATTATTAGCTTTCTCCAACCCTACTTGTCTTCTATATTCAATATGGTTATTCCAATCTCGTCTGGTACCAAGGTATTCCACTCAAGACAAAAGTTGAATATCATTTTAAATATGCAAAATACCTAAATATCAACTTTTGAACACGCAATAAATTAACTAAGGAGAACAAGGAGCGCTGAGAAAGAGATGATAAAGCTTAAACAAGCCATTGGGGCAGTGTTTTACAAGTTCTATACATACCATTTCACAAACTACAGCCACAACATATTCAACTATTCTCTTACAAGGGGTGGGTAGGGGACTGGGGGGGGGGTGGAGGTGGAGATGGCGGATTGTTCAACATGCTTTCCGAGGAAAATTAGACATGCTCATTTATTTTAAAAGGCCGGTTGCTTGAAACCAACTACAACATCCCTATAAAAAAATGAATTTTAGTAAATTTTAAACTTTAGTACCCCCCCCCCGCCCCTCCTCTCCCTCTCCAGTTGTCTTCCCAACCACCCCCCCCTTTCCATATGGAGTGATGTTCCAATAAAATACCGCAACAACTGCTTCACGTCGTATATAGTTTGATTTTAAAACGACATATGGGCTCGCTCGAGAGATGGCGAGAGAGAGAGAGAGTGTGTGTGTGCGTGTGAGAGAGAGAGGGTGGTCATTTTACATCTGGTGTGAATTTATCTTCATTATCCTTGATCAGAAGTGTTCCACAAGTACATGCGATACTTCCAACCACCTCCCTATACCAGTAGTTATTTAAGTTTTAAAATTTGTGGCCTTTCGACAAGGCATGAGAGCATAAGGGAGGGGGACGGGGGGGGTTAAGAAAAGATAATTATGACGCGGTGCGGATGATTTACTTAATGGAGTGCACACCATCATTTAGTGGCATATCTCTCGATTAAATGCGATTTCAAACCGTGGAAAGAGGCTAAATTTGATGCGCACTTAACAAATGTACAAAGTCCAATAAGTGACTGAAATTAAAACAGAAATTTTGCAAAAGTCCAACTTTTGCTTGCTTAACTGAAAGTATAAGGGATTTTTCCTTGGTCAAAAATGCATGATTAGTTAAAATGAATAATACATATATCGTTTTATTAATAATAATTTCTCCTTGAATTTAAACTAACTCTAACGCTTAATGAAAAGAAATTAGGAGTTAATTAGCGATATCCTATCTTTATTCATATTCATTTTTGTTGAAAAAAACGTGTCAAAGTTTGCTATAGCTATAAATTTATACCGAAAATTAAAATAAGCTAAATAATTAACACAACATTTCATCCACATTGTAGGTAATTACTTGGTTCCAAAACCGACGGGCAAAGAAGAAGCGCGAGTGCACTGAACTGGAGCGTGATCTAATGGCAGGTAAAACGAAGTTTGAAAATCTTCAACAGCCAACTCAGAGCAATCTGAGTAGCCATCAAATAACCAGCAAACTTCCCCCGATTTCCCCCTGTTCCTCAGCTACCTCCATCAATGAGGTCCCCTTTACGTCAGCATTTATGAGATCCAAATCAGACTCGTGCGCCTCCTCTCAACTTACCGCAGAAACCTCCTCCAACGATCCAAAACCTATTTGGCGACCAGTTTGTTTAGAGGACATTGGAAGAGAATGATTGGTTTTCCCTTCCTCCATCCCCCCCCCCTCTTTCACTTGACTGCATGCTTGACAAACTATCATCCCACATACTACCTTCTACCTATTCCGGGGTAGATATGCATACCAAATGAAATATATATATATATATATATATATATACAAAAATATTGATTTTACTTGTTGTAAATTAGCAAGTCTACGTTTTTTGTTAATTGGCATTCTTAGGCATATTTGTGCTAGACTAGGGGGGGGGGAAGGGGTGAGGGAGGGGGTGTAGGGGTTTTTATAGAATTCTTTCTGGAGGGAGATTAATACTGAAGGCAAGTGAGTGAAAGTCTTGGGATATACTATGCTCAAAGAACCCTAAATGAGTAAAATAGAATGTGCTATCTTGGAGAGAATGGAGGAAGGCCGGATCCACTCTATAGAGTTACAGAGGTGCTCAGATTCAGGTCAGATAACCTGCAGTACCTGTACACCCAATTCGTAATTTCAGTTTTTATCGTAGTAGGTGCCCACCAATGCGCACCAATTCCTTGACAGTGAACAAAGAACATAAAATCGTCTTTCCCTTACAAACCAGATTGATCTATATCACTACAGACGCTTCCCCCTCACCCTCCTTCTACTACTTCTCTTTTACTCATCTCATTACTTCCAGGCCGTTCAATAAACTAGCGGATCTACTCAGTCCTTGGTTTTCCCACTAAGGAAAAATGGAAGCCTATTTTAATTTAGAAATGTATCAATTCTCAATTATTTGTTAGATTAAATTGGAACGCTTTTCCACATAGACGTGAGTGACAAACTTCACATAATTTCGTATCTTACCTCGTGGAGGTTTGATGGCAGGTACCTAGAATCAGTTACATTTAATACAAAGATTAAGCTAAGGCTTCTACTGACTGAAGGTTAGCCTAATCAAGGCAGCTCTTATAAGTATACTTGAACAGGACTAATTTGAACAGATGATGTCTTAACTGGGATGCAATTTTGTTCATCCACCATGCCCAATTCTGCTCTAATGACTCTGCCAAATGTACTGAAAGTTGTCCTCAGCATTCATGCAACTTAAACTCCAGACATTTGGCAAACTTTAAGCAGCTAATTTATGCTTGAATTCGTCTTAATGAGCCCGACGACAGGTTTAAGAATTCATTTACCCCCTAGTTGACCCCAAATCCTCTTATGCTCGTAACCTAAATTGTATCACCCCAAAATCTTCCAGGTGATTGAGTTATTAAAGTGTAGTCTGCATAACTCCCACACCCGACCTACTGCGATAGGTCTGAAGTGATTGAGGGGATTTATTAATTACAAGTGATTGAAGGGCTTTATAGTAATAGAATTTCAAATTTGATAGGAATCATGATTATTGCTCTTTCATCAGTAGAAGGTTGTACTGAAGTTTCGATTTTAGCAAAGGCTTTCAGATATCTCAATAATGAGACTTTGAATCCAATTGTTTTTTTTTCGTTTCCGTTTTATCAAACCCGCGTTAAATTCTGCTCACTACGGCAGAAGTTAAACCACCGATTTGATCGATTTCACGCGGTTGACGGAGCCACAGCCTCCTTATTCCGCCCATTTAAACTAACAAGATTGCTTACCATCTAACTTTCAGCCAAATTAATTATGTTCAGGCTCACATATTGCCATATCGGCGATTGGTAGAAGGTACTTAAATGACAATCTAATCAAAACGGCCAAAAAATGGAGACATAATAATCGAACTGTCATCCGAATTTGTCAGTTACAACTTCCAGGTTTAAGTCAATGACCTATCCATGCTTATTCAAGGAAGAATTTTTAACGTTATAAGTAGTATATCTTCGGCTTCATTTAATACCGCATTAAATTCCATTAAGTCTTATGATAAACATTTATCTCTCGGTTTTGACAATGCTATTTCTTCAAAAGCTAGCCTACTATACACTATCTACTATTGCAAGCACTGGGTAAATACATTAAGACGCTGATTATCCAAGTGTGGTCATGTAATTAGAGGCCACATTTTAAACGAATAATGATTTTTCCAGGTAAAATTGGACTGGATAATTACAGTTCTCGCATCTTGTTAGAAATTGGCAAGGCATGCCTGGAAGTGGAGATTGGATTCCATTTAGGGTGGGTGAATAAAAACAAGAATTTTCCATTCATTTGCAGCGCTCAGTAAAATTTGACACTTATTTTTCACCCCCCACCCGGTTTGTAGGCTTGTGAAGCAAGTCACAGTGTCAATCGCTCTGTTCCCCTAAATCCAACTTCATGACCAAATATGGGAGTTGGGGCAAAGAAACAGATATTTTAAAGCCTATAGCACATGCCATCATTTAAGCTTCCAGTTTTAGACCCAACTTAAACATTCCTGATTACATAATTAGTACAAGAAACTTCCCAAATTCTAGTTTCTAATAGAACCGGGGTGTGCGATAGACTTACCTCCACGTGGTGCACCCCGGGCAACGTATACTCATGCGGCAAAAAAGTCTATTAACCGGCAGTTGACTTCAAACTACCAAGGCCCCCTGTATGACATATTCGATCACTTCCACAGTACTACATCACATTTTTTCTAAATTTTCAACCTTCGTCTTTGAAACACTCTTCTGTTCCCCCCCCCCCCCTCTCGATTTTTTTTCACTTTGACATTCCTTCCCCTCTGTGAAGCCTGAAGTCAACTAAAGGGCTAATGATAACCATCAAGACGCCTGGCATTTGATATAAATAAAGTTTCTAATAGAACCGTTCTCCTATAAGACTTTATTCCAATATTCTTTTCTGTTTTCAATGAATTTCCCATTTTATCGGACCAATTTGAACGCACTGCTTGAATATGAAATTAGGAGGGGGGCGGGGCGATGAAGGGGAACTGAAAGTGACTTCAGCTCTCAAATCTTGCAAGTTGATCTTCAACAAAATGAAGCGTCAATAAAAAGCTCAAGGTAATTAGACGGCATTAAGAAGAATACGGGCTAATGAAAAAAACTTTGGTTTTCAATCCTTCATACACTGCACCCCCCTCTCCTTGTTCATTTGATCTTTCCACCTTTTATTAATGGTAATTAAGCTATTGAGGTGAATTTCTTCAGCATTTCGTTGGTTTTAAGAAATGAGACTTCGAATTGCGTAAAGAAGTGAAGCTGATTCTTATTGCAACGCCCATCCAACCAAATCTGGCTTTCTTCCCTACGAATAGAGGATAAGCAATTTGAAGTGAACAAATTATCAACCATCCAAATATAAAAGGATTTGGATATTAATCGTACTCACAAAGAAACAAGAGACCTCAAATGTTTATTATTATTATTATTCAAAATCAGAAAGGAATATTTCCTAAATAAATAAATGCCTTCGAATTGGGAATCACAGCAAGGACTTGTAGCGAATTGCTACACTAGTAAGCCCTCACTTAAGCTCAGTAATTTCGATAGCAGAAATTCTTAGTTTAGAACAGCCCTCAGAATTTGTTAAATTACCGCAAAACTGTAGATGAAACAGGCATGTGACATTTCATGCTTTTCTTTGAGAAGCGTATTACAAATTGCGAGCTTAGTCATAATAATACAATGAAGGATTTGTTGGACAATGCAGCGACTATTGATTGCCGGTTGGCTGAGAAGTCTCCTCGCTCACGACCGCACTTCCTCACTACGCGCCAAGTAGCACGACTGCACCTCCGAGTCTGTCTGTGAGGGCATGAGATTTCCTTGTTCAGCCACGACAGCGCTGTGCACTGCACAACCTTAAAATCAATAAAAGCGTGTTTGTTTTAAAATAGATAATGGCCGAAAAACAGAGCATGCTACTTAATCAACAACAATTAGGCAAATATTTGATTAATCTGCTTAGGATTGAACATGAGCATCTCAAGAGCGGAATGTCTTAAAATAAGTTAAGTAAGTAAGTAAGTAAGTCGAAACTCACATATAACGATGTTGGTTTGAATTTTCCTGCAAGTCATCTGGGTAAATAATCTAGCAAATCCACACATCTAATGTGGCAATTTAGAAAATTGCAGCTCATTCAAACTACAAGCACTTTCATTAGGCGCTTTTTCAAATGCAATTTGTGTCCACTCCTCTCTAAGCCATAATGACTTGTAGCAGCAGCCGCAACAGCAACAACGGCAGCAACAACAACAACAGTTAATTAGATTATACACCCTCAAGTCCATTGTATGTGAATATAAAGGAATGGCACACAAAAAATGTAAACCCTCACATTATGACCTCTTGATGCGAAATTTTGCGGCCATGTTTTGCCGAGACACGTCTTTTGGTCCCCATGTGGTGGCATTTCACCGTGTGAATATAATGGACCTGCATTCTCCCATTGATGGAATGGACCAAAAAGGTGAGTTGCGGAAGAAATATGAAAATACACGCGTACATGGCCACATCAAGGGGAGTTAATTTCTTCCCTTGCTGAGGTTGTAATTAATATTTATCGCCTTGCAAGTCGGTTAATTGAGTTGTCGGATAGTGGCAACAACTGACATCTCTGATATGAATATCAACGGTAGAATTAGTAACAGTAGCGCTATTGAAGTCTGACAGTGATTGACTACGAAAGGCTTTGATAATACGCTTAAAGGCTACACAATACTCACTTTAATTATTACCAACATGCAGAAAGAGTGTTGGAACATGTGGCCAGATGATTCGTTGTTCTAGTGAGAATCGAATACTGGCCGCCAAAGTTAATTAGCAAATTTCAGTAGTCACGATTAAAGTTCATTATTCAGACATTCGGATAAGGAGGCGTCATTTAGGATTGTGTTATAAAGTGGAATTAAATCATTTCATTTAAAAGCTAAAATGTGTCATTTAAGTGAGCTATTTATATTCTTGATCACTAAAATGTGACCTAATGCACGATTAAATTATTAGGTTATGAAGCTGAAATGGGCTATCTATCTGTCTCTTTCTTCTCAAATACATTGTGTTAACTATTTAGAAATCATGATTCGTGTTGTGGCGATTGGGAGTATTTTTGAATACCCCAAATTTTAGT